GTTCCTTGCAGTCGGAATGTAAACTCATCAGCTCCATTAAACTTGAGCACTATATCCCATCATCCAGATCATCAAGGAAGATGTTCACCAGGAATTGCTGATCACTGGCCTCCAGCTGGATGTTGCACTCCTGATCACCACCCCAGCCAGCAGATTTCAACCAGCCTGCTGTCTGCTCATCCAGCCCATACTTCATGGGCTTCTCTGTGAGGGAGCCCTGTCTGTGTCCACTAGTACACACATTCATTTGGATTTTAAACAATCAAACAGAAGTGAGAGTTTTAACAGCAGAATTATTTTTCAAAGGGAAATAGAAGGGTAAGAGTTTTTAATTTTAATGATCATGTTTTACATGATGCTAATTGACCTCTAGTAGAAATGAGAGAGCACCTTAAGAGACAAATCTACATTCTCTATTTATGCCTCTGAATTACAGGTATGGCTTTGATGGAACGAGTGCCTTCAAGCTCCACTGGCAGGCACTGTTTGAAAACTATTTGGGTGATTTTTGATAAGAAATGAAAGATGCAACGACAGGAAGCCATTCAGCAATCCCTGACAAGGGAGGTCCACTGTCAATTGCTGGGAGGGCCCCCACCTGTTTCTTTTAATGGTGCTCCCAAATCCCACCCCTTGGGCCTCCCATCCCATCCTTTTTGGTCCCTCAGGCATCTCCTCCCCAGGATCTGCTCTGTGTCCTACCCAGGGTCCCCAAATATCCTCCCATTAAGCATTCCCAAAGCTTTTCTTTCCATCCTTCCCCTCAGACCTTTGCCTTTCACCCAGGCCACTGCCCTGGTACCTCCCAAGACCATTCCTTGACTCCCTCTCCACTCCCAACCATCTCCCAGTGCCCTCGTTTTTGTCCTCCTCCATCCTCCTCCTCCTGTCCCCACCAAGCCTCTCCCTTGCAGTCCCCATGTCCCTACACTTGAATTCCTTTCCCCTCCCCTGCATCCCACACAGGGCCCCTTCAACACCCCAATCCCAGTCCCGTGGGCTCCCCAGTTCCCCCCAGTTCAGCATCTTTGGGTCCCCCCCAACCTCCTCCCCCCCTCCCTGCAGGCCCTGAATTCCCCTGGCTCTCCTTGTCTCCATCCCCACCCTGGGCCCTGCAGGCACAGGGGTTGGAGGTGAAACTGGGGGCAGTGGGAGCAGGGGGAGCAGAAGGGATTTTCCCCCTCAGACAGGGGGCCAGCCCTGGGCTGGGGGGCTGGGGACACCCGTGTCCCTCCCCCAGCCCCACAGGGGCCAATCCTGCTTAACCCTTTGCTCTCCTTGCCCAGGCACTCTTGGCAGGAACCCAAAATGATCTGTGGGATGTGAGTGGGCCGGGGGGACTGGAGGGCATCCAGTCTGGGAACTGGGGGACACTTTGGTCCCCCCATCCCTCGCTGGCACCGGGGACATCCCAGTGACCAGCCAGGGCTCCTGGGCTCTCTCCAGCTGCATTTAGTGGACGTTGGGATCCTGAAGATGGCTCAGGTGGGTACCAGGAGTTCTGCCTGAGTCGGGTCCTCCCCTCACATGGCCATGACACTTCTGGCCATCCCAGTCTGCCCCAGTATACCCCAGTGCACCTTCCCCAAGGATCCCATTTCTCCCCCCAGGCTCCCAATACATCCCACTGCACCCAGTGTGTCTCTGAGCCTGTGTTTGTCCCCAGCCCCCTGTGGTGGAGAAGGTGGTGGGTCCTGTTGGTGAGAAAGGCGTGGCTGCATCCCTGGATGGCTGAGGTGAGCAGTGCCTGCAGGGAGAGGGGTCAGGACAAGGCCCCTCTCATGTTGCAGTGGACTTTGGGGGTGACATTTGGGGCTCTGTCTTTCAGGACTGGTGGTGACACCCGTGCCCTGTCCCCCTCCAGTGGCATGAGGAGATGATCATCCCCGGAAGAACCCCCTGATTTCCCTCAGAGCCCAGGGGCATTTCCCCAGAATGATCAATAAATCCCTTCAGCAAAGCTACTCTGCTTGATCTTGTGTGTGTGTTCCCAACTCCATGTGTGTGTTCCCATCTCCATGGGTGTGTTCCCAACTCCATGTGTGTGTTCCCATCTCCATGTGTGTTCCCATCTCCATGTGTGTGTTCCCAACTCCATGTGTGTGTTCCCATCTCCATGGGTGTGTTCCCATCTCCATGGGTGTGTTCCCATCTCCATGGGTGTGTTCCCATCTCTCTGTGTGTGTTCCCAACTCCATGGGTGTGTTCCCATCTCCATGGGTGTGTTTCCATCTCCATGGGTGTGTTCCCATCTCCATGCCTGCATTCCCATGTCCCTGTCCCCTCCTTCTCCAGCCCCTGCACACCCAGTGCCTCTCTGGCCGCTCCCCTGCCATGAGCAGAGAGGCTCAGGGGGCTCCTGGGGGTCTCTGCACACGAGATCCCCTTCACCCCCTCCATGTGCATCCTGAGCAGTGCAGGTTGGGGCATCGTGGAATGTCCCTGCTGGGGGCTGGGACAGGCAGGGGGCACATGGGGCAGCCCCTGGAGCACCTGGACCTCCCCTGGGCTCTGGGAGGGATGGGAAAGGGGATCAAAGAGCCAGCGGGTGTCAAATGCCCCCAGATCTCAAGGGCCAGGCTCGGGGCTGAAGGGATGGAGAGCAGCCCTGCATCCAAGGCCATGGGGATAGTGGAGGATGAAAAGCAGGATGGGAGCCAGCAATGGGAGCTCACAGCCCACAAGCCCCCTGTGTCCTGGGCTCATCCCACAGCGTGGGCAGCAGGGGAGGGGGGTTCTGCCCCTCTGCTCCGCTCAGCTGAGACCCCTCCTGCAGTGCTGCCTCCAGCTCTGGGGCTGCCTCAGGGTGTGGTTTTCTGTTGAGGAGGAAAAGGCAGGACTGAGTCAGGTCAGACTCTATTGGCAAAATGTGTCTCTCTTTTTAGGAAGACGTCTCTGCATCCCCCTCCCCTGAGCTCTGGGTTTTGCTGGCTGATGGGGGCTTTGAGAGCAGGGACCCTGTGACAGGCTCCCGAGGAATCCTCCTTGCTGTGAGAGGCAGCTCAGGACACGGGGTGATCCGAGATTAAATGTGCCTGTGACACATCAAAGCGTTTCCAGCCCTGCTGTTCACAGTTTGCCCAACTGCAGAGCAGAGCTGAGGGGATTTGCTGTAGTTTTGTTACAGTTTCACTTGGCACATTTAGAAGTAAATTTGGATGGCTGAAATCCCTGACATTTCTGATGTTCTCCAAGTGAAATCTCGTGGGTCCTGGGAGGCAAAGGGATGGTCTCAGTGCAGAGAGAAGAACTACGCTGGCCATCACTCCTGTTCTCAGCCGCCCCTCGCTGGCAGCTTGGAGCTGAGGGAGGATCACACTAAGGAGCTCCTTTAAAAAGAGACAGGGCCTTTCTGGGAGCAGAGGAATCTGGGCTCAAAGGGCAGATTGACAGACTCCTTGTCTTTTCTCAGGGTGCCTGATTAGGATCTCCTCTTTCTTCTCCCAGACTGCTGCACAGAGGGATCATTGCAGCTGCCCAGAGCATTTCTATGGCTCTACCACCGAGGTGTCCTCTCCATGGGGATCCCAGACAGCACAGAGATACTATGGCAGAGCTGTGCCCTTCTGGAGGACACCCTGCAGGACACCCGGGGAAGCAGCTGAATGTCCTGAAGTTGCCTGGAGGGCACTTGGGCATTTTGCTCCCACAGACACATCCCCACAGCAGCACCCAAAGGGTTTGTGTCTGGACAGGAACCTGCCACCCCAAAGCCCCTGCACTGCCTGAGAAAAGCCAATGGTGAGAAGAAGAACAGCCCAGACAACAGGGGATGGCAGGGAAATGCCACAATGCTGCTGCCAAGGGAGGAGGGACACACAGAGAGAGATGGAAATGGGGGCCTTGTCCTTGCCTGGGCTCTGCTGCTGCAGGGCAATGCACAGCCCAGGGGCCATGGCCTGAGGGCACAGGCTCTGCTTAGGCTGGGAAAGGAGCCCAGGGAGGAGCTGCTCAGGGAAGGGGTCTGTGCCACAGGGACAGCAGGGAGGGGCCCACATCCCCCTGCCCAGCACTTGTGGCAGCAGCTCCCTGTCCCTGCCTGCCTGTCTCTGGGTGAGGAGCTGTTCCTGCCAGCAGCCCCTCCCTGTGCCCAGCTCAGCTCCCTGCCAGTGCTGCCAGAGCCATCCCCAGCCCAGTGCCCAGGGGCAGCTCTGCCTGGGCAGGGGCTGCAGAGCAGATCCCAGACCCTGCGGTGGCTGGGAAGGGGGAGGTGTTCTGGGGGGATGTGCTTCCTGAGAAGGGCCCCTGGAAATGGAGGAGGTGGAGCTGAAGCTGTGAGGAGCCCTGAGCCTGCAGCTGAAGGGCCCTGCCCAGCCCTGCCCTGCCCTGCCCTGAGGGGTCACTCCTTCCACCCACCCCTTCTCCCCCAGCCCCGTGGCAGCTCCTTGGCCGGGCTGAGAGCTGCCCCTGGCAGGCAGCAGAGTCCCTGCCCCAGCACACAGAGCCCTGGGGGCAGGACCCTGCTCTGCCCCACAGCCCTGGGCACCCCTGGCTGCACCCCCACCTTCCCACCCCACAGCCAGCCCTGCCACAGGGAACCTTCTTGCCCTGGGCCTCTGAGGGGGCAGCAGCAAGTCCTGCTCTGCAGCAGCTTCTCCTGCTGCACCCCAGGAAATCCAGCAGAGCCATCCTGGCAGCTCCTGCCACTGCTGGCATTTGGCAGCTGGGAGAGGCACTTACAGGAACTCCCCTGCACTGCTCTGCAGCCACAGCCTGACCGTGGCAAAGGGCTGGCAAGGTTCCTGCCCTGAGCAGCTCTGCCCTGTCCTCCCACCCCAGGATCTCTTGAACCTCCTGCTCCCTTCTCCTGTCTGCCCTTGCTGCCTGCAGCTCCTGCCCTGCTCTGCCATATGGCCACTTCCCCTGCACTGCAGCAACTGGGAGAGTCCTGCTGAAAGATCCTAGAAGCTGTGGGATGTGGCAGCTTTAGGAGATGCCTTCAGGAAGGGAAGTTGAACTTTCCTGCAGCCAGAGAAATAATCATTCAAATCCCGTGAAGGTTTCTCCCACAGTGAGAGCTCAGTCCCCTCCCAGCCCAGGCTGCCTCTCATCTCTCTGCCTTCTCTCCTGTGCCCTGGGTGCTGCAGGCAGTGCCCTCAGCCCTGCTGGGCTGTGCAGAGGAGCTGCTCCTGGGCAGAGCTTGCCAGGAGCTCCCTGTGTGCCAGGAGCCCGGCCCAGCTCAGCAGCACAGCAACAGCCCCAGGCAGCACTTCTGCCCTTCAGGGATCCCTCCAAGTGTCCCTGGGGCTCCAGGGGACCCTGCTGGCACACAGCTGAAGGAAATAATGATGTTCCTTCTCTCAGCTGGGCACAGACACTTCTTTCAGCAGGGTCATTTCTCCAAACAGACACTGAGTTAAGTTCAAGAGGCCCCTTTTCATGTCCCATCATTAGACAGGAAACCCAGACAGTGCCCAGGAGGGATCTCCTTCACCCCCACTGAGGGAAGGGACTCAGCTGAGTCAACAGAGGTGTCTCCTTGTGGCTCTGCAGACCTGGGGCCAGAAGGACACTCAGCTCCCTCCACAGCCCCCATGGGGTGGGATTCCTCCTGCCCCAGTTCAGGGGGCCCAAAACAGGCACCTGCAGGTGACTCCTGTTGGGGCAGATGACACTGCAGAGATAAGAAATTATCTTAGCCAGAAACCATGGAATTTAAAGACAGACAAGGAAAGCTTGTTTACATATACCACCTGATATTTTTATACTATCTTTTAATTAAGCAGACTTGCTGTCTCCATGAAAATCCTTTTACCACCTTGTTTACCCCATCTCCTGTTGTAATTGTGATAAAGAAATATCTGTTTATCTGTTTGAAGAAAATTATCTCCCTGCACTTCCTGGACCCTCAACCTCAAATGTGAATACAATGTATGTCCCCCCTTCCCTGAACCCTATATATAGCTAGAGTTGTGTCAAATTCAGCTTTGTAACCACAAAGTGGATCATGCAATTATTTAAACCGTCTTAGACTCCTTGTCCCACCTCCCGTGGGAATGAATGAAGACCAAAGCCAGGAGTGACCTGCTGGGACACAAAGCCCTGGTCACTTCTGAGGGGCCAGAGGTGACCGAGATTCCTGCTGGGAACTGCAGGCTGCAATGGAGCAGTTCCTAGGCACAGGGCAGCAGCTGTGGGATCTTCTTGGAGGCTGCTGGGACATTGCTTTGGCCAACTTCAGTGGCAGAAGGGGCCCACATGTAGGACAGGGGAACCTGTCACTGTTCCTCCTGTCCAGGGCAGCCCACAGAGGTGCTCAGCTGAGCAAATGCAGGGAGGGAGGTCTCTCTCCTGTTCTTTATCAGGGTATTTTCTACACATCCTTAGAGTACAATGGCAGTTGTCTCCTGGACATCCCTTCCTTGCTGAACATAATTCAGGGCAGCTGAACCTGAATTTCGTACCCAAAGTGGGGCCTGTAGTGCCAGGGGAGGTGCCAGGGCTCTGCAGCACAAGTGCAGCAGCTGCCATGGACAGCACAGGGCCTGTGCAGGGACCCCGTCCCCATTCCCAGCAGTTGTGGGACAGGCACCACCCAGGGCTCCTCAGACACATTGGGGGCCTTTGGGGCAGGGAGTGAATCCCAGCCCTGCAGGGACATAAGGTCTGGCCCTTCTCTATCCAGCTGGTGCTGGGCAGTTCCTGAATACAAAGCACATCCCAGCAGGGTCTCCAATCCTGTGCATTCCCTTTTTGTGTGGTTTAACCCCAGTGAGCAGCCAAGTGCCACAGAACTGCTCCCTCAGTCCCCCGACCTCCCCCTGCACTGACAGGGGGAGGAGAATCAAGAAAAGGCAAAACCTGTGGGTTAAGAAAAATGTAATAACTGAAACAAAGTAAAGTATGAAAATAATAAAAAGTGTAGTAACTGTAATAATAACTGTATTGAAAAGGGAGACCAAAGAAAGAGAAAGAGGAATAAAACCCCAGAGGAACAAGTGATGCTCAGCATGATTGCTCACAC